TTTGAGTTAGATCTTTAAATTCCCTGTACAGTGAATAGCGAGATTTATGTGCCTTAACCTGCAATTCGTAGCACTCATCACAACAGGCTAGGGAATGCCTGACCCAGCCAACAGGAAATCCAGAGGTGCGAAGTCCTCTCCTGCATTTAAGAGCTTACATGAAACTAGGATTCACAGCCCCAAACCACTTCTTTGACATGAGCATCTATGTCATCCCTTTCAGCACAGATCATTGACTCAGTCTTTCTTTCAAAACAGGGGGGTAAGGAATGCCCACCTTTTAAAAATGGCCTACTGGTTGGAGCATTTGCCTAGGAAATGGGAGAGACAGGATCCAGCTCACCCCATCTCCAGAAGAATGTCCCAACCACCAAACCATAAGTATACCAGCTGCTTATCTTAAAAAAGCTGGTAACCCACCTTATCCATTGCATATATAAAGCTCATCAAGGTTTAAAAGCATACAATATTCAATATGCATATATCATAGACACCTGTGATCTTAAGATAAATTAAGCTGCTTACTTCTGATGTTATTAAGCCAAAGATCAATGTGATGCACTTTCTCTCCTTACACTATAGCATTAAAATTAAAATAAAGCATCAAGAAATGTCCTATTTATTTCTATCTTGAACTGATACCAAACATTTCCAGTTTTGCTTTTCATAATTTCTGTGGGCTTGCGTTCTGCTGCAGATTCAGAGTTAATCCATAATCTCCTGTAGATTTACTAACCCCTGCTGTACAGACAAGCAAGCCTGTGGCAGAGCCTAAAGCAGACTCTGAAGCCCTAAGGCTCAACATCCTCTTCCTCCCCTCCTGTCCAACGTTACCCGTTACAAACCCCTCTCCCTCAGCTAGGAAAAGAACCCAAGAATTCAGGTATCTACTTATACAAACATATCTCCATCTCCAGTATCCTTGGTATTTTCTATAAAGAGATGCTGTAAAATGGGGAGCAAACACGTTGCATTTACAGGTCAAGAAATTTGGAGGGAGAGCTAGTTCGGGCCACAGCCGACACAGAACCCGGGGTTATGGGACCCTGTACATTTTCCAACCCCCCCCATAGGAGTCGTGGAATTTCAGGTGAGCCAACATGTTCCTTCAATGGTTTATACTTTTCAGAAATTTTAATTCTTGGGCCTCGACTTGTCTTCCTTGATCTCTGCCTTGAACAGATCTTCTCCCTTGATCTCTGCCCAGGATGTGGCTGCGGGCAGCGGGGAGGGGGTGAGCAGGGCTGGCTATCACCACCACCGCCTGCCCCGCCACCATCCTCATCACCTCTGCCGGGGGTCCCGCCGGCCCCAGGCCCACATCTAGCCTGTGAGGAGCCAGTCGGTATGGACCTGGCCTAGGGCTTAGGGGGTTTGGCACTCTCTCTGCCAACAAGTTGTGGGACACAACTAGGATGCAGCAGTCATACAACTGGAGAGAGCAGCTCACTGGGCAGGCCAGGCACCGGGACCACGCTACAGCGGTAGGGAGGCGGACAGGACGAAGCCGGGCAAGGGCTGGGTTTCCTCAGCACGTGAGGTGCGAGGAGCCCTGTGGAGCCCCTGCCCACATCCTACTGCCGCTTCCCGCCCAAAGCACGCAACGCTGCACCGGGCACCCCTCACGGCTGCCTCTAAGGGCCTGGCTCTCCTAGCGCGCTTTCCCCCCTGGAAAGGTGAAGGAACTGGGGAAACTGACTCACAAAGAGTCGGGGGGGGCTGGTGTCGAGAGCATAATCCAGCTGCTGGCCGGCCTTGACACAAGTGCACCCGCCCGCCCCGCCCATAGAACCCCGCGAGCCAATCACAACGCAGGCGCAGGGCGCGCTGACCAATCCGCGACCCCCCTCCCCAGCAGGTGGTGGTCAGTAGGGACCGTTGGCGGCAGTTTCAGTGCGCAGGCGCGAGCCTTCCCCGCCCCCCGCTTCAGACGCCGCGCAGCCGGCGGGGGTGAGTGACCTACTGCGCCGTGGGGAGAGCTGGGGGCGCCGGGCGCAGACCCCCGCCCCAGCTGGGGGGGGTCACGTGACCGCAGGTGCGGGGGTCCCTCGGCGCGTGGCGCTGGCAGACCAGCTGGGAGCAGAAAGCAGAGCAGGAGATCAGGGCAGTGAGTATGAGGCATAGCAGGGGACTGGCGCAGGATGGCAGAGCAGCGAAGTGAGCTGGGGGAGAGCCAGAAGGCAGAGCAGGAGACATGGGTGGGGGGTAGAAAGCAGAGCAGTGGGTGGAGGCAGGGGGAAGGTATGCGAGTGGCACTTGGGAAAGGACTTCTTGGCACTGGAAACAGCTTCCCCAGAAAGAGTCGTCCTCGCGGGGCAGTTCAGCATTGCCCCCACACTTCCCTTGGGATGGGAGCGAGGGCAAGGGGTTGGTAAGTTCCCCAGGGAGGCACCGAGCAGAGCGTGCTGGCCCATGAACTAGTCCAAGGAGCCAGTGGATGCTGCCCAGCGCAACCCGGCCTGGAGTCCTGACCAGATGAGGGACAGGAAGTTTCCCCGCAGGCCAGGGAGGAGCCTCCTCCTTCCTGGTCGGAGAGCTGGCCCTTGGGAAGGGAGGTGGCAGCTCACCTGCCAGAAGAGTTGGCCTCTGCACTAGGCAAATCCTTGCATTGGGAGGGGTTAGGTAGGACTGACTTTGCTTGGCAAGAGGCTGCACAAGGTGACCTCCTGAGGTCCCTCCTGGCCTGGCTTGTCTGCATTTCTGTGAAACATGCATCTGCACCTGAAATCAGCACTGCCTCCCTCTTCTGTAGCTGACTTGTGTTTTGCTGCCAAAAGTCAAGCCCAGGCTCTGCAGGCTGTCGTGCTTCTGCACTGTGACTTGTTTCTGCTTAAAGTTGACTTTTTGAGGCAGTTAGATTTGGATCACCTTGCCAGAAAACAAGGCTGGTGCTGTGCTGGAGTGTTGAATTGCCGTGGACTGCTCTAGCTTCCTGTATTGTAGGGGATAATGTTTTAATGAGCGTCAACCAGTAGAGATTCCAGACTTAGAGTTATGAAAAAACCCCCAGCCAACTAGAAATATTTTTAAAATGAAATTTCTGTGATTGTAGTAATAGGTTTTAGGTTGGGTTTAAGCAGTCTTCAGTGCTGTTTACGAGTTCAGAAGTAACTCCTTCCATTAATAGATAGTAAGCACAAAGTGAAACTGCTTAATGCACAAAACGAAAACATATAACTAGTTAAAAGTGAAATCCCAAAATGTCATTTCTAGCTTCAGTGAATGAAGGTCACGGTAGTGTTGATATCTGATGGCAAAGGAGTTATTTTTGAATGACTTCTTTTTATGTAACTGATATCCTTTCTTAAAACTTTCCTTATCCATAAAGGAGCAACCTGAACTCCTTTCTGTCTGTTAAGGACTATAATCAGCTTCCTGAAATGAAGAACTGGATAAAAATGACTTTGAGGTTCAGACTCTACCAGCAGCCTTGGGAGAAGCATTTGCCAGCATTTCTACTGATTTGAAAGGTTCAGGCAGACCAAAAGTTGAACCAAGTGCTTAAAACAAGTTTTTAGAAGGCGATTCACTGCAGCATCTACTTTATCTATGTTCGGGGCTTTTAGCACCATTATAGCTACAGAATAAAGGAGCTTGTAGTGTTGACAAACTGAGAGTTCTTGAATTCTTTCTGGCAAAGAGTTGTGCCATACGGCATTTGCAGAGAATGAGGGATGTTCTGTATTTCCTCCTTAGGGATCCATGTATTACAATTTTATACACTTCCTAACCTCCACCCCACCCAACCCATAGGAGTTGTAGGAATTTCAGGTGAAATGACACTTTCCTTCTATTGATCTTCTTTAAATCTTGAAGAAAATGTGGTTCAGCTATTTTTGAAAGTGGGAGTAAGAAAAGATTGCTAATTTCTAGCACAATTAAACTGTCTCTAGTGCTCCAGGGGTCTGGTAGACTAGCTCAGTTGAGCAGGAGGATAGTTTTGAGTTTGAAGAGGGAGGCTTTGCCGTTTCTGATAAAAATCCATTTGATCAGATTCTAAAACCAAAGAAACTACCAGCTGCATGCAGTTAGAGCTTGTTAAAAGTTTGTGTGAGAAGTAGTTTAAGCAGCAGTATTGCACTGCTGGACTGCACCCCAGGAGTACATTCATTGCTCATGATGATTATAGGTGGATGTGTGCGGTCCGAAACTTCACATCCTAGAGCCTTATTGTGTAATATGAATTCTTTCTGTGCAAAGTATTTCTGCCACCTGTGTTGAGTTCTCTGCTTCAGGCTAATTTCTTAACTGTGTCAGAGCTGGTAAAACATGCCTTCAGAACTTGCATTTTTATTTTCTAGGGTAGGAGAGGTCTGGTGATTAAATTGTGATGCAGCATAAAATTTGTTACTGAAAGTGCAGTGCAAAACCTGACTTTGAATTTGTTATAATAGGTTTATATCAATCAAGAAGCTAGCTCTGAGGGAGTTATAATTACTAGTCACTCTTGGCAGCTCTTACTATAAAGCAAGTTAACAAAACAAATGTTGAAAGGCTGAAATCTTTCAGCAGTTTCACAAGAAGAGAGGTAGGAATGGGAAGTACCATAAGGGAAAAGTGGGAAGAATACCTGTTGGTGGAGGGTGGAGATCTTTGAACTCAGTAAGCTGCATTTAGGAATTTAAAGGAGCTACTTATTCACTCCCATTATAGGAATATCGGTCTCTCTGCATAGACTCTCTAGAGTAAATTTGGCAACAGTCTTACGCTTTATGCTTCCTTTAGCATGTAATGGCTTATTACGTGGTGGGGGGGGAAGGGAACCTAGATGGCTTGTGTTAAGAAAGCAAGCCTGTTTCTTCTGCAATCAGATAGATTTTTTCCTGTTGACTCCAGTGAACAGTGAATGTAGGCTTGTGCCAGTTATCTCAAGTTGGGTGGGGGGGTGGAGACATGGGGGAAACTTTACTGAAAAGATAACTACACATTATTTAACATAACTAGTTAAACCACTGCAATACCATCCAAGATGGTTAAAATACGTTTTCAACTTCTCACAGGTGTATCGGATTGGCTGCTGGGAATACTTCTGAAATGTCAATGATGTACTTCATGTTAACGTTCTTTTTTTCTGGAATTGTTACCTGTCATGGTAGTAAGTCTGCCTATAATGCAGTACCCCAGCTGCTGCTGGTCTCCTTTGATGGCTTTAGGGCTGATTATCTGAAAAATTACAAACTTCCTCATCTTCAGGAGTTTATTAAGGATGGTGTGTTGGTGAAGCATGTCTCAAATGCTTTTATCACAAAAACTTTTCCAAACCATTACAGCATAGTGACAGGCTTATACGAAGAAAGCCACGGCATTGTGGCTAATAAAATGTATGATGCAGATACAAAGAAGAAGTTTTCACCACCTCATGACTCGGATCCTTTTTGGTGGAATGAGGCAACTCCTATTTGGATAACAAATCAACAGCAGGAGAACAGAACAAGTGCTGCTGCAATGTGGCCTGGTACTGATGTAAAAATTAACGATACGACATCTCATTTTTTTATGAAGTATAATGTTTCAGTATCATTTGTAGAAAGAATGGAGAAAATTGTTACATGGCTGAACAGCTCTGACCCACCAGTTAGTTTTGCCATGCTCTACTGGGAAGAACCAGATGCAAGTGGGCATAAATACGGACCAGAAGATATAGAAAACATGCGTAAAGTGTTAGAACAAGTCGATGATCACATTGGTTTCCTCATTGCTAAACTAAAAGCCTTTGGTTTGTGGGATAACATTAACATCATAATTACAAGTGATCATGGAATGACTCAGTGTTCCCAAGAGAAGATTATTAAACTGGATAAATGCATTGGCCGGGATAACTACACTTTGGTAGACACAACGCCAGTTGCTGCAATACTTCCAAGAAGCAGTACGTATATTTACAGTGGTCATGAGATCGTTACACTTTTTTTTTTTTTTTTTTTTGCCTCCTTCCTGGAAGTGTCACACTTTAGTGATTAGTTGAAGGAGTTACAAAAATAAAGCAGCTCATGTTGCCCAGCACAGAAAGAAGTTAATTGTTTAATAAACCAGGGGCATCTAGATGACAAAAATAACGGGTTCTGGTAATTCAAGATAACTTGCTAAAACTGTTCACTTCAGCATCAAAAGCTGTATGGCAAACAGTGAAGGCCCTGATGTGTCTTGATGCTGAAGCTGTTAGAAAAAATGTTTGAGAGAGACACTAGGCTGCATTCATTTCCTCTTCTGTTGATTCACCTTGACAAAAACTACCCAGCTATTCATGTGCAGTAAGTGCTAGATCAGTCCCTAATCAAATTGGGTATCTGCAGTTATATTGGCTTTTCTGGCTAAAGCCATGTTGCACTACAACTATAACCTTAAACCCCATCATTTTGATTATCACTTTATCTTGTTCATCCTACTTCAGTTAAAACCCCTGTAGCAGATAAGCCAAGTCTTTTGAAGGTGAGGGAGGTTAAAGGTTAAAACAAAAATGAAATCTACACTAAGAACAGGCACAATGTCCCTTTCTTCTAACCTCAAATAGTCCTTAGTTTGAGAGCATTGGAGTTAAGTTCAGTTATAATTACAGTGAACAGTTGCTGTTTCACATGCAGTCTGTTCTTTATTTTGTAGACAAAACGTATGTATATAACTTGCTAAAGAACTGCAGTACTCACATGAAGGTGTACCTCAAAGAGGATATTCCAGACAGATTTCATTACCATCACAATAATCGCATTCAACCCATAATTCTGGTTGCTGATGAAGGTTGGACGATTGTACAGAATGAGCCAATTATAAGATGTAAGTATCCTCCTTAATACTTTTTGGTGATTTATTTTGGTAAACTTCTATACGCTGAAGTGGAACCAATGGGTGCCCTATTCACTGATTATGCACTTTAAAAGCAAGTAATGCATTCCTTTGAATATAAGATGTACTTCTAAAAATGGCACGCTTCTTAAATTTGGATTAAAAGTAAAATAAAAAGCTCTTCTGTGAACCGTAGATCTATCTTTATTTGATGTTTTACTTTTCTTAAAAATGAGTTGAATGAGAATTTATAAATACATGCTTATGTTCAAGGATGCCTTGTATTTGAAGGAAGGTGATATCATACAGCCAATGCCTGCAGAAGAAAGCTCACGGTCTCTGGGTGATGAGTCGGGATTCTGGCTTTCTCTAACTTAAAAAAAACTTTTAAAATCCCCAATGTTTATCAGAGAGAACCGGGATCCCTGGTGATGAGGAAAGAGGGTAGCCTTGTATTTATATCACTGACTTAAAACTTGGGAGACAAGGGTTTGATTCTGCTCCATCACAGACTGTTTGTTTGACTTCAGACAAATGATTTAGCCTCTGTGGCAACATCCACATGTGGTGTGGATGTTTGGTTCCCTGGGGACAACTAGCAGCAGCACACCTTGCAGCACTGCATACCACACGGCCTTGCTTATCTGGACGCAGCCTGTCTTGGTTCCCCACCTGTGTGTGTATTTAAAAAAAAAAAAAAAAATTAAAAAGAACCTCTTCTCTGCATCACAGGAGTACTGTTAGACTAAATTAAAGATTGTTTTATGTGCTAAGGTTTTATCATGATGGTTTTCTTTGCATTTCTCCTCCAGTAGGTGACCATGGCTATGACAATTCTCTCTCTAGCATGCATCCATTCCTGGCTGCTCATGGTCCTGCTTTTACCAAAGGCTACAAACAGAATACTGTTAATATTGTTGATATCTATCCAATGATGTGCCACATCCTAGGATTAAAACCACAGCCCAATAATGGGACCTTCAGCAACACCAAGTGCTTGTTAGCTGACCAGTGGTGCATAAGTCTTCCAGAAGCCATTGGAATTGTGATTGGTGTCCTTATGGTGTTGACTACTCTTACCTGCCTTCTAATAATCATGAAGAACAGAGTGCCCACTCCACGCCCCTTCTCCCGACTTCAGCTGCAAGATGATGATGATGATCCCTTAATTGGATAGTATATTGGAAATACAGCTTCCTTTCATAGACATTGTTTCTGAAAATAGGCCATAAGTTAGATCAACATGTTTACTTTCACTAAATAACAGCATTCTGTGGCAATGCACTTTTAAAGGGTACCCATTCAAAATATTACATAAGATGTACAAACAAAAACTGCTTGCTTATATTCCCTGACCAGTAACCCAAAAACAGAAGATTTGTAAAAGGAAATGTTGAACAGATCTTTTGTTCCTTGTTGGAAAAAGCACTTAAAATAAGGATGGTTTTTCAAGTCCCTTCACATATGTAAAAATAAATATCATCTATAACCTAGCAAAGCCAGAATATTAAGTGTACTTTAAAATTTGTAAATGAAATGGATTTCATTTTGTACTGAACCTAAGGGTGACTTCCTTGCAGTTCTTGCACTTGTATACCAGGAAGAGGAACACCTGGGGCCTTGCAGATATTTTTAGGCCCAGTAAGCTTTCAGTTGTACACATTGGCCTGTGTTGGAAGTGGAGGACTCTCTTTAATTTCTTGTTTCTAAAAGCTGAGGGGGAAAAAAAGAAAAATCAAATGATGGGAGTAATGGTTGTTGGGAAGACCTTACCGTCCAGTTGTATAATGCTCAGTGTCTAAAACTAGCAGAGACTATAATCTAGTAGTTACAAGGCATGATGGGGGAACATGGACATCAAGTTTCTACTTCCAGGTAAGACAGTGACTTTTTGCATGGCGTTGGACAGGTCATTGCACTTCTTTGTACCATAGTTTTTCCTCTCTGTAGAAGTCAGTTAATACTATTAACTACCTCATTGGGATATTAATAGGCTAAGTCAAAGTTTTGAAATGCTTCTCGGGCAGGTTCTGCAAGCACAGCCTACTGTTAATTGATATGAAAACATTACTTTGATACTCCCTTCCCCTCCTTAATGAAGCTCTTAGCTAACATAGTCTCCTGTATTATAAGAGAAGCTGATCACCTCTGTCGGCCCCCAACATATCTATTGGATGTGTAATGTCTTTCTCATGCTATAAAAGAAAATGTCTTTTAGGACTTAAGGTGTACCAGGTGAGAAGCAAACACCTTCCCTGGGGTATATGGGTGGTCCCACTGCTCGCCCCAAAACCATTTTGATAACGAGAAAAACATTTTTGGATCCTGGCAAAGATACAGAACACAATGGCAATGCTCTGGATCTGAGGATGAGGACTTCTGCTATTGATGTTTAAAGCCTGGTTTAAAACTGTACCTATTAACTTGAAATCACTGAAAATGGTCCCACAGTACTACTTAGTCCCTGATGTTCTTTCAGTGCTAAAGTTCTGTTCAGTTCTTAAGTCTGTCTTGATTGCATTGGGGCCAGAGACTGGTGGGGACTTGGGCACACCTCACTGTTTGGTGTTTCCTGTTGGGTAGCTGCAAGCAATGTTGGTGGCTCCTTGATTCAGTGTTTTGCGTTACACTCTGGGGGCCAGGTGCCTGAAGCTAAATGTTGCACTACTAAACTCATAGGCGCCTGAATCTTGTACTGGATCTCATCCTTAGATCACAATGAGGATGAGCTTGAGGAACCAAGCAGGTGGTTTCAGCACCAGCTTAACTTTTGAAAAATGCGCAAACTTGTTTTACTAGCACAGGGAGGAGGGGGCAGGGAACTGCTACTGTATCTGGCCACCTTGGCACTAGCAACACTCTTTTTTAACATTTCGGACAGCTACTGAAAACCTTAAGATCAAATAGTAAAAGACTATTGTTTTAACACCAGCTGATGTATTTCTATGCTTCCTTTTCTCCCACGCCCTCTTATTTTTACAGAAAGTTAAGAGGACTAGCAGTAGTGTGAATAGCAGTCAGTCACTGAGCTGCTGTGAAGGAGCTGGGAGAAGGGGAGTGATTAGGACCAAAGTAACTCCCTTTTAGATGCGTCACAGGGCTAGGAGAGCTGTGGAGGAAGCCTGCTGATTACCAAGACAGGAAAGACGTGCGTGTCTTATGGATGGTTCTGACTACAAGTTGGCAAGTTTCAGAGGGAACCAAAACTAGATGGCCCTCTAGGACCCAGGGGTTAGCAGCCTGTGGCCCACAGGACAGATTCAGAGTGTGGGCTTTGGCAGCAGTGGCTTTCTCCAACTTGCTGAAGGCCTCAACTTGTGCTGCCACAGGGGGAAGCAAGTAGCAGCAGGGTCCTAGTGCCTGCCTGCCAGGCTCTGACCCAAACTGGGTCAATCTGGCCCATTGCAGCCTGCTTCTATGTGAGGTGGGAGAAGGATTAATTTTGAACTGAAATGTGAAGCACCATTCATACTGCGTGCCTACAAGTGTTTGGGGTGGGGAGGGATTCGGAGATACTACACTTCTCTGGTTTGCATATCAGAAAAGTTTCTCTGAACTTATCTCTAAGGAGATATTGAAACTGAGCACTTACCTTAACTCTGATAGTTGGAACAGCCCTTTATTTGTTTCTGGCTTGGCATATTGTACAGGTTTGCAACAAAGACTCAAGGTCACCTCCAGAAAAGTGCATATTGATTTGAAGCAGGTCAGATGTATGCCCCATAACAATTGATACTGATCCAAATCCAAGTGTGTGTAGTGTTGTGGGACAGTGGAAGGGGGATGCTCCTTAACCAAGTGCAGTAGTCCTTATCCAATGCTCAGATCATTTTCCTGCTAAACTCTTTTCTGGGAGAAGGGAAATGTTTTGGAGTCACCATGTGGTGACTTCCAGCAGATAAGCTCTGCATTGATAACTGTGAAGAGGGGTTGCCAGTAAAGCCAATGTACTTACGCACCCTTATTGTTTTTTAGCTACTAAGTTCCTTTATTTATCAATATACATATCGTGCAGTGTATTCTTTGAATGACTCTTTGCTTGGTATCTTCAAACTGAGCTGTG